TTGCTTCTCAGCTTCCTCACTGGCAAAACGCGGCGTCTACTCACTGCTCTGGTATTCCTCCAGCCCCCAGCCCAGTTTTACACGGGGCTCGATGCCACCAAAGTCAGAGCCACAAAAACGGCCTGAGGCAGTTCAGAGGCAAACGGGAGCCTGGGCAGCTGAGGGTCACTGGCCCGAAGTCTGAGGCCACAATGCATCAGCTCAAAGGTCCTGCCCCTGGCGCCTTAGGAGGGAAAGGGAGGGGAAGCCTCTCCACCGTGGTCTTCGGCCTGGGTCTCTGGCTGGCAGGCTGGGAGGTGAGGGCCTCCTGGGGGCAGCAGTGTCTCCGCGCTCCCAGCCTGGAATGGCTCCAGAAACCCTCAAAGGTCAGGTCAAGGGGTGCAGGGCAGCTGGGGTCCTCTCCCCAAGAGCGGCAGAGGAAGCCGTGAGGACCAATTTGCAGATCGGACACCACTACGGCTTCACCTGGATGGGTGAACACGAATACCAGGGAAGCCGGCCTCGCCACAGCACCCCGCCCCGCCCTCAGGCGTCAGATTACCTTACAAGGCCTCACTCTACTGTGCGTACAGATCTGTTACCTCTGTACAGTGTTTGTTCCTGAGAAAGTTAAGGTCCTTTTCAAGTCGGTTCCAAGAGACAGGACACTTAGGGGGAAAAAAACACTTAGGAAATTGACTTTAATCATGTATTTGTCATTTATTCTTTTCTGAAGTTAAAAAATGCAAACACACTCTATTACCATGACCCTAGGCTGTGAACATACTGGTACGTTCACTCCACTCCACTGTAACATAATCACAGACGTCGGAGCCGTCAGTACTCAAGGACGCTCGGAACAGCGTGTGGGCCCCGGCCCCACGCGGAGGGCATGCTCTGCGGGCTGCTCAGGCTTGGGTAACCACTGACTTGGGAAGGCGGTAGCTGCCTTGGGACTCAGGTCTAACCTCTGAGGTGGTCTTTGTCTGCGGTGTCCACGAGGAGGAAGGCTTGGGAGGGGAGATAACACACGCACGCACACCCCCCACCCCCAGCCAGGAGCTGAGAGCCCGCTGGGGGTTTGTAAGCCTGTACTTCGTCAGTCAGTCTCCACGAAATTTTAGATTGTGGGCGCTCAACTTCCAACAGAAGGGTGTCTTTGTCGAAGGAGTAAAGTTCTGCCTGAAATGATCAATAGGTTAAAGAGAACTAGAAGCAAAGCTGTTTTACTTCCCTAGGACAGCGGTGGTGAGCCAGCATGCGTGCCGCAGTGGGATGTATCACTGAAAGCTCCAGAAGCTTGCCCTCACTGCCCTAAGGGACGACTGTTCCCCCGACTGACTCTGCGGAGCACAGCTGTGGGCAGAGGCCCTGGACGGTTAGTGGCCACCGTGTGACTGTGGCAGAGGGAGCCGAACCCTGCGGGGAGTCTGGGTGCACGTGGGACCGTCGTGCTTATCCAGACGCGGAGGCAGCAGTGCAGGTTAGTCACGAGGCAAACCTGATGTGACAGTCACGGGTGGGTATCTCCACATCCCGCTTTCTACCCTCGAGCACCCTGGTGACTCCAAAGTCGAGGGTGCACCCAACCCTCAGGCCAGCACCACTCCAGGTTGGGCTGCGTCCCCTTCTGGATTACAAGTACCACCATCTAAGGCAGATGGAAGATGCTAAGATCAACAACGCCAAGGAATCTAACCCAATTCTAGGAAAGAAAAAATAGCCCTAATTATTCCAATATATTCCCCCACACCCACACCTTAAGTTCTTTGTGTCCACACACAAGCAAGTGCTAAGACAACCAGCAACAGCTTTTCAAATAATGGTTCCAAAAAAAAAAAAAAAAATCACAATCCATGGGGCTGGGGATTTAGCTCAGTGGCACAGCGCCTGCCTGGCAAGCGCGGGGTCATGAGTTAGATTCCTGGTACCGGAAAAAAACCAAACCAAACCAAACCAAACCAAACCAAACCAAAATCAAATAATGGTTCCGAGCCGGGCTTGGTGGCACATGCCTGTAATCCCAGCACTCAGGAGGCTGAGGCAGGAGGATCGCTGCGAGTTTGAGACCAGCCTGGGCTACAAAGTGAGCTCAAGACCAGCCTGAACTGTATATCGAGACCCTCTCAAAAAACAAAACACAAAACAAAACAAAAAACAAATAATGGTTTGGGAACACGTCAGAGCGAGCATACTTCCTCCTCTGCAGCTTTGGACTGCACCGAAACAAAGTGACAACCCCAAAACAAACAGCCACACTGCACCTTCCAGACACGAGTCCAAGAGCCAGACTTCACTACTTGTGAACAGAGGTCGAGGCCCCCCTCTCCAGTGAGGGCGCACAAGGGGGAGCTCAGCCGAGGGCTAAGCGTAAGAGGCCCCTCAGGAGTCACACGCACTTCCGACGGCACTGAGGTAGAAGGGCGCCCTTCAGCGACGCACGCAGTGGGCCGCACGGTGTGCCGGTCTGCCCGGCAGCTGCAGGGCACTCGCCTCACCCACCTACTTTTAAAGAAAGGTTTCTTTCTGTGGAAGTAAATTTCAGTGAGGAGACTAAGCTACGCTGGGGCGCCTTCGTCTCAGAGCCGGGGGACCCACAGCTCTTTTCAACCATTTCTTTAAATGTGTCAAGATGTCTCTGTTTCTTTCCACAAAGGTCAAACTTTCCATGTTTTAAATCTCAGTTGGGGATTAGTGATAATCCATTCCCACTGAAATCATGCAGAGATGGTAAGTGGGGTTTACCTTCTCTCGAAATGAACTTCTACTTACCTGATTATTTCTTCTACAATGAACTGGTAAATGACCCCAGAGCTGAGAAATGTGAACGATTCAAGTTTTCAGACCACTTAACTGCATTCCCATCTCCTTTAGCAGCAGAGGACAAGGTGGGAACACCTCACTCGAGCTAATGACTGCCTCTGCAGGGCCCACCCCTCCCTGTCCGTCCACAGGCCAGGCCAGCTTCTCAGCAGCACCTTCAGTGCAACCCACACCAGCGCAGAGCCCCACGCCTTGCTTTCCTTTTGTGGTGCTAAGCGTGGTGCCCAGGGGCTCGAGCGGCCGGGCAAGCGCTCTACCGCCCCAGGAACACCCCGCCCTGCTCTCACTGACAGCAGCATGTAAGGGCGGAGTCAAGTGTGGCTGCCGGACAGTACTCCCAACAGCTGGAAACCTACCCCTCCCTAGAGTCTGCCCTGCGTGTTTTTCAGGGCTGATAGTTTTCTTTCTTCATCTGCAGCAAAACCCTTAACCAATCCAAAAGCCATCAATATTCAACACAACAGACAAGAAACCCTGACAGTGATGAAGCGGAGAACAATTCTCTGTAGCATTTTGGTAGGTGGGAAGGGAATTACACTGAGGGGGGAAAATATGTATGTATGTATATATATTTTTGTCTTTTTGAGACACGTCTCGCTATGCAGGTCAGGCTGGCCTTGAGCACACTTGGTAGCCGGGGCTGGCCTAAAATGCGGAAACAATCCTCCTGCCTCAGCCTTCCCAATGCTGGGATTACAGGTGTGCACCACCACACCCGGCAAGAAAATATTTTCTGAATAGGACTCGAGACTCAACGCTTAAAAGTAGTTGTAAAGCAGGAAATGCAAACTGCATTCGCACAGGCCGCCTCTCAGTGTTAGCCGGGGAACCCTCCTCCCAGTCAGAGGACAGAGCACACGGACGCTCCCCGCACTCCGCGGAGCTCGCGGAGGCCGGGCTGGAGGCTGTGTGCGGCTGGCCCCCGCCTGCTGTTTCTACAGCAGCTGTTCGGCAAGTGCTTTCCCTAGGCTGGGCCCCACGGGTTAGGAACAGGAACAAGGCGCCTCCCTGCTCAGCTTCCGGGGGCCTCTGGCCGAGGGTGCTGTCGGCTGGCCGGCTGGCGTGGCGCACGCACTGTGCACTGGCGCAGTGGTTGGGAAGCCCGCGGCTGCTTTCCAAGGGGCCCGGCAGGCCCCGCCCCTGCTGTGTCCACTTATGCTCCTCAGTGGCCAGAGATACAGGGGCAAGGAGAGAGCAGAGCAAAGCCGGGAGGAGGAAGGACAGAGAAGGCATTTCCGCCCAGCTTCCGCCCGTCCATAAACCCTGTGCGCCAAACTCGAACCCCACCCCTCTCGGCAGTGTTGCCCTTCTGCAAATACTGGGCTTGGCAGAAGCAGAAGCAAGGTTCTGCAATGCAAGACCGAGACGGTGAGACCACTTTCCAAGACATATTTACTGGCCCAAAAGAGAGAGAAACCAGCTTCCACTCCCAACCGTCGCTGCAGCTCCTCTGCTCGTGGTCCTGGCAGTTGCAGGGGCCTGAGCCTCACAGCCTGCGAGGAGGAAACCATCAGGCAGGACGCAGGGAGCAACTGGCTCCAGCCACTGCAAACCTTTCCGTCGGCTGAGCCTTACCCGTGATTTAGGATGAAGTACAATGCTTTTTATTACACATCTAATTGTTAATGAGACGAAATGCAATCAGCAGCTCCTTTCCACACTCTACATGGAATCCAGGAGACTGCTGAGTCCAGAGAGATGCAGCCCCCGATGGCGCCCGGGAAGCTCCTGCCCCCTCCTCAGTGGGCGAGGAGGAGGAGGAGTTTCAGGTGGGACAACGGCGTGATACTGGGCCTCCACTGCCGCCTTAGGGCGGCCGGCGCCACGGGCTGGGCCTGACGCTGTGCCTGAACGCCGCCTCCTCCAGACACGGCATCCTGCAGCGGCGCCGCCTCAGGCTAAGGACACACTCACCACACAGCGTCTCCTCCGGCGGGGGCTCAGGGGAGGAGGGGAGAGGGACGGAGGCAGAGCGCGGAGGCAGAGGCCCAGGTCTCCAGGGTGCGCGCTGCTTTTCTCTTCCCCTCCCTCGGAGGCTGTCAGGCGCTGTCTCCTCTGCTCCGGCCAGGTGCCGGCCCTGCGGTTACTGTGGTGACGCCTGGCTCTGTCCGCCCGGAGGCTGCATCCTCCTGCCCCTAGAGGTGGGCTATATGGGGAAATTAGTTCTTCTGCTTAATGGCAAAGCAAGAGAGAGTCTGTCCAAACACTAAATATATTTATAAGTCATCTCTGTCTAGAACCCAGTGGGGGAGGAACCGGAGTGAGGGAAAGGAGAGGGGAGGGGAGGAGCGAAAGTTCCCATCGTTCACTCGGGACAGAAGACGTCTTCCGGTAGCAGCACTGAAGCGGCTTGCCACGCCTGGCAGACTGTCCTGGTCAGCTGCAGACCAAGTGTGTCCCACCAGGAGTCTCAACGCCCTGCTCCTCGCAGGTCCAGGGGTCCAGCAGGCGTTTGAGTGTTGCTGTTGTTGTCTGTCCTGGTCTTCGCAGATACATTAAATATGGCAACTTAACGAGTCCTGTGTGGAAAAAGCGCACAGTCACTATCCCCTTTCCCCTGCGTCTCCCTCGCTCTGGGAGCAAAAAGAACGTTCACTCGGCTGCCAGCTGAGAGGGTGGCCCCGGCCGCCCCCAAGGCCGTGCCCTGCATGTGCAGTGCAGGCCTCCTGTGCGAGCCCCCTGGCTTGACCGGGGACGGACTGAGGCAGGGTGAGGCTGCTGGTGCGGTCAGGTCCCACAGAAGCGCCCAAGCAGTGGGGGGCCGGGCTGCCAAGCTTTCACCGCTCCCTGGAGGGCAGAGCAGGCAGGGGCGGCTCTGAGCTTCTGCCTGCGTGGCCAGGATCACAAACAGGAGGGAGGGGTGTGGGGACGGTGGCTGGGGTCCGGCTGGAGGCGCCGTAGACAGAAGCTCTAGAAATGCCCGGTACATGGAGGACAGATGTGCAGATGATGGCTGGAGATAAGGCCTGGAGACAAAGGCAGAGCCAGTGGGGCTGGAGATATAAATTGGAGTCATATACACAGAAATGTGAAACAAGAGCTTAAAGCTTTAGGAAAAGACGGATCAGCTGAGGAAGGGGACTTGGGTGAGTCAGAAAAGCCTGAGACACTCTTGGGGGAGGCCTGTTTTAGGGGTGAGAGAAGGAAGGAGACAGAAGTAACCGGAGTTAGGGAGAGTGTTAACAATGTGGGTTACCCACATAATGTAGCGGTACATGAGCTTCTTATGCCCGAGGTCCTGGATTTAATACCCAGCATTCCCCCTTTTAAAAAACCAGGCTAAATGCTTAAGTCTAAGGAAGAGAAAACTATGGCACAAAGTGGGAGGAGGTACAAAAGAATTACAATATTAACTACAATTAGTAGCTGGGTGTGGTCGTGCATGCCTGTAAACCTAGCACTGGGAGGCTGAGGCAGGAGGATCCCCTTGAGTTGGAGCCAGCCTAGGCTACACAGTGAATTCAAGGTCAACCTGAACCACATACCAAAGACTGTCTCTAGAACAAAAACAATTCACAATTTTTACTGAGGGCTTATCGTGTAAGGTACTAAGAATTTTATAAACAGCATCTCTAGCAGCACCCTCACTCTACTCATCAAGAGACTCTGGTCTGGGGAGCCACTTGCCCAAGGGCACACAGCCCTGTGACTGGTGAAGGGCTGAGGACTGAAAACTGGCGCGAGCAGGGGCCGAGAGAAGGGCCAGCAGGAGCACCCCTCAGCAGGAGCCCATGAACAGGGGCGTAAGTGCAGTGTGCGCTTGGCCAGGAGGAGGCGGATGAGGAGGACAGCCGCACTCCCTGGTGACTACTGCCTGGTGTCCCTCCCAAACGCTCAGGGACTAAATGTACATGAACCTGCGCGGGTACCAAGAGTGACTGGAATATGCCCCAGGACAGACGGCCTGGGTATTTAGGGTCCCCTAGGTGGAAGGTTCTACGAATTCTCACAGCTGCACAGCTACTGCGGGTTTAGGTGCCAGGCCTTTTCTCTGTGGCAGGGCAGGGACTGGGGCTGAGATTACAACCAAGTGAGAGTGACCGTGCACATGGTGAGACGGAGGCTGAGAGTGCCCACTGCACACAGGAGATTGCTAGCTGGGCTTGAAGGGTCTCTGCTGTGGGTCTGTCTGGTCTGAGTATTACAAGCTCTGCTTTCAAGCAGACTCAAACCTCATTCTATTTTCGCAGCAATTTCCCGGGGCAGAAATGGTTAGGTCCACTTCACAGGAGGACCCCACAACCCTCTGGACTGCAGGCTGGATGCCCGGGCGAGAGTTGTGCCAGCTGCGCAGCCTGGCCCCCCGTCTCTGCCTCTCTCGCTCCACAGGGCTTGGTGAGCAAGGCCTGAGAAGACGAGGCCGCAGGCACCCGTGAGCCCACACAGCCCGGCGCAGGGCTGCCCCTACCTGGGCAAGCGAGGTCCGGGGCGTCTATCTGGAGACGTAGGTGTACGTTCGTGAGGGGGAGCGGGGGGGCTCGGCCTGGGCCGCCGGGTCATTGAGGAAGTCCCAGATGAGGATGGTGTCATCGTGTGAACTACTGACGATCTGGAATTCATCAAACTGGAGTCGGAAGACTCTTCCAGAGTGCTCCTGAAGAAGCAGAACAAGAGAGTAAGAATCTGAGCTACTCAAAATCACAAGGACACAAATCTGCCATCATATCCAAAGGAACCTATTGAAAGGTGTGTGGTGTGCCGGTCATTTTCCCTCCACCATTTTGTTGTTTCAAAAATACGGAAGGAAAACTACAGGTAGGATGGCAAGTCGAACACTGGGGATCTGACTCCACGAACCGAACGGTGATGGAGAGCAGCACCTTGGGGGAGAGCTCTCCTTGGTGGAGAGCAGCACCCCGCCTCTCGCTCCCTGTGCCTTGGGCGAGAGGAGCGCGTTGCTCAGGGCCCCCCTCGTGTTCCCTCCTCTCTCTGCTCTAAGTTACTTCTACAGTCCGAGGCCAAGGCGTGGCGAGCAGTAACAAAAGGTATGCAGGCAAGTGCTCACCAACCAGACTTCCTCAATTTGTATCATGTACGGTACAGATTCCAAGGTGTATCAACCAGCTTGCAAACTTCAGTCAACCAGCTGGCTCTTAGAAATGGGTGTAAGTCTGATCTAGCAGGTAAGTGGTAGTAACTACTGGTCCGGATGTAGACCATTTCCAGTATCCTAGAAGGCACTCTCATGCCCCTTCCTTGTCAGGATTACCGTCACTTTGACATTTTTTTTTTGGTACCGGGAATTAAACTCAGGACCTGGTGCTTGCTAGGCAGGCGCTTATGCCACTGAGCTATATCCCCTGACCATGGATTACCATCACTTTAATGCTAGTACTGTTAATTTGTTTTGCCTATTTGAGTATGTGTGTGAGAGACAGAGACAAAGAGAGACAGAGACAGAGAGGGGGGAGATCCCCAACATCCCTGTTCCTTTTGCCTTTTGCAGTTAGGGTTCTGACAGCTTGCCAAGGCTGGGCTCACCCTTGTGCTGCCTACTTCTGAATTTCATATAAATACACCACACCGTATACAGTCTTGTCGAGCCTGCATTCACTTAGGACGTATCTGTAAGGATTCCTCTCCGTAATCTTTACCACAAGTAAAACAGATGTTCACTTTTTTTTGGTGGTACTGGGGACTGAACTCTGGGTCTTGAACATCCTAGGCAAACCCTCCCCCAGTGACCTGCTTTCCCAGACCTTTTATTATTTTAACTTTTGAGATGGGTCTGAATTGCAGGGCTGGCCTTGACCTGGCTGTCAGGCTGTCCGGAGGAAGGCTGCTGCAGACAGCACGCACACGCCTTCCGAGGGGCAGGTGCACCGTGCGGCTCCTGAGGACGAGTGGCCCGCCGTGGCCGACACCGCTCCTCTGCCTCCCACGCGCAGCGCCACGCCCCAATGGCAGCAAGTCTCCACCCACGCTGGGCGCTGCACATTGTTTAATTTTAGCAGGTGTGTAGTGTATTTTATTAGTTTCAATTTGCACTTTCCTTCATGAAACTAAGGACGTTCCCTTCTATTTCTAGCTTGCTCAGTTTTAAATCGTGTGTTGGAATCTGCCAACGCTTTTACTAAATTAATGAACTAACTGTACTGGAGATTAAACTCAGGGTGCGCTACCACTGGGCCACACCCCCCAGTTTTTTTATTTTTTATTTTTGAGGCAGGGTCTTGCTAAGTTGCCCAGGCTAGCCTCAAACTTGGGATCCTCCTGCTTCAGCCTTCCCAGCAGCTGGTACTAACGAGTGTGTGGCACTGCATTTGGCTCTGCATTTACTGATAGAATCACATGATTTTCTTCTTCAGCCTGCTGATATGACAGATCAGTGATGGCGAACCTTTCAGAGCTTTCAATGGTACAAACATCCCGCTGCAGCATGGGCCACAGGCTCACCACAACTGTGGTAGATAGTATGAACGGAGCTTAGTTTTTTTTCTTTCTTTTCTCTTCCAGTACCAGGAACTGAACGCACGACCTCGCACTGAGCTAAATCCCCAGCCCCTGAGCTAAATCCCCAGCCCCTGAACAGAGCTTTGAATGAGACTCCAAAAATGCAGTCTTGTGTCCTGTTCCTGAAATCGCATTTCGTCAGTATACAGTTTTTACTGTACACTATTGGATCCATCTTGCTTGTATTTTGTGAAAGTTTTTTTTTGAAGAGTTACTTCCTTTTATTGACTTTTTTGTTTCATTTTTTTGAGACAGGGTCTAGCTATGCAGTCCAGGCTGGCCTTGAACTTAAGTAGCACCAGCTAGCTTCAAACTTGCAGTGATCTTTCTGTCTCAGGTCCTGTTTATAGTTCTACTTATGCGGTTGTGTGGCAAGCAATATAAAACAGAACTGCCCATTTAAAAACTTAATTAGCTACGCTGAGGATTGAACCCAGGGTCTTCTACAAGCTCTGTGAATGCTCTATCCTAGAGCAACATCCCTAGCCTATTCACTCACTCAAACTTGGGGTCCTCCTGCCTCAGCCTTCCAGAATGCTGGGATTATAGGCGTGTGCCACCACATTCTGCCTATTCAGCAACATTTTAAAAAGGAATGAATCATTGATACACATTAAAAACATGGGTGAATATCAAAATAACTGACTGTCAGTGAAGAGACAAAGAAAGAGGACACACTATACAGTTCATTTTTATAAAACCACAGGAATGCAAACTAATGAATGTTGATGGAAGTAGATCGGGGCTGCCCAGAGAGGGGTGTGGAGGCAGGTGGGATGGGGGACGAGTGTCACCACGCCTGGCTTCACTGGTACAAGTCTATCAAGTTTATCACGCTCGGTACTTTCAGTATGTCCACTTACCTGTGTGCTAATTTTACCTCAAAAATCTGTTTTTACAAAACAATTTAATAAACAAGGTGTGGTGGCATGCATCTGTAATCCTAGCACTCTAGGAGGCTGAAACAGGAGGACTGCAAGTAGGGTGGAGATGCAAAGGCCCTGCGTTCAATGCCCACTACAGCAAAACAGACAGATGGACAGACAAGCAGGGTGCAAGATGTGAATAGACATTTCTCAAAAGATAAGCATATGAGAAGATGTCAACACCACTAGTTATCACAGAAATGCAAACTGCACATCACTCACATGGTTGCAATTTGTTAAAATACTGATGATAGCAAGTGCTGGCAAAGACATGGAAAAAGAGAACTTCCATACTGTCAGCAAAAATGCAAAATGCTTTGCCTTTTCAAAATCTAAAAGGCCACTTTGAGAAGCAGCTTGGTAGTTTATTTTAAATTTAAACATACATTTAACACTGGGTCCAGAAATTGCACTCCTAATTGTTTACCCAAGAGAAATGAAAACAGTACGGACATAAAAACCTGTAGAGGAACATTTTCAGTGGTGTTACTCAGAACCAATGAGAACTGGAAACATCCCACATGTCCTTGAACTGGTGAATGTATAACAGATTGGCTCATCCTCCACTGGAATACTACTCAGGGATAAAAAGGAGCAAAGTACAAAAACATATAACAACATCGTTACATCTCAAATGAAGTTTAAAAAGGCTACATGTTGTCTCATTTATATGACATTCATAAGAAAGCAAAGCTACAGTGAAAGAAATCAGACAACTGGTTGTTAAAAGGTGCAGCGGGTATGAAGGAGCCTAACAAAACTGGGGGTGATAGAAACATTCTATATCTCGACTGCACTAAGAGGTAACTGCGAAGTTCACAGAAGCATGCTAAAGGGTGAGTTTTCTGCATGTAAATTATACCGCAAAAATCAGACTGTCAGATTAATTCTAAATGAATGACTGGACACGTCTTAAAGGACATATGTGAAATACACAGAGTATGTGTACTGTGTACTTCTGAGAGAATATGCTTTAAATCCATACAATTCTGAGCCACAAACACTGAAATATTAAGAGCCATGATTCAGAGCACTAAGCTTTGAGTGCTTACTCTTTTTTTTTTTTTTTTTTGTCTTTTTAAGACAGGGTCTTGCTGTGCAGTTCAGGCTGGCTTTGAGCTCATTTTGTAGCCCAGGCTGGTCTCAAACCTGCAACGATCCTCCTGCCTCAGCCTCCTGAGTGCTAGAATTACAGGCGTGTGCCACTATGCCTGGTGAGTGCTCACTCGTATCTTTTCCCAGAGTTGTGCAGAAGATTCTGCCACCGGGGGGTCCCACCTCCTCTCCTAAGTGCAGCAGCAGCTGCCGGTCCGGGCTCTTGGTGAGCATGCTGGGGAAGAATTCAGTGCTTGTGATGACAGTCATCTGCCCTGTGCTTTATGGACTTAACCCAGGGCCACAAGCCTCTAGCTTAGCAGGGAGTGGCAAGAGCCCTACCACCGAGCTGTACCCCTGCTCACAGTCCTCCTTTGATTTCCTTCCTCACATGGCAAGACACACAGGTGTGCAGAGGGAGCACCCAACCAGGTCTGAGCTGCTGCAGGCACCGTCCCTTGAGTGCGATACAGAGCGGAGGCGCTGGCCGCGAGTTCTCCCGATTTCCAGAGCACTTTGTGCAGGCCCAGGCGCGCAGGTCCTCAGGCTCTGGACAAGTGCCCACCGGAGTAACTCTGTTCCCTCTCCCTGCACGCCCCCGCTCCTTCTGGTGGACACACAGCTCTTACGTGCTTCCTGCACTGCGCCGGCGCACCGCTGCTGTGCGGCTGAGCACAGCTGCCACCTTCTGCCCCATGCCGTCTCTAAGGCACTTGTGGAAGAAGGCGCCATGTAAATGGGTTTCCTGTCACGCACGGGCTGTCTTCTACCTAGCAGGTTTCCTGAGAATCTACCTGATCCAGATCTGCGTTCACAGCACACCAATGTTTACTCCACCGCCCTCCCAGCCCCCTGCAGCAGCAAGGCTCTTACCACAAGGGTGCGCAGGCAGAGAGTCCCTGCAGGAGCGCGGGGGTCCAAAGCAGCCAACAGATCCCATACTTTTATCTTTCTGAAGATCAAAAAGGGGACCAAAATCTCAGTCAAAAGCACAATTATGGAAATACAGGGAAGAAAGAATTAAAAGCATTGTACCACAGTGATATATGCGAATCCATGTTTATAGCAGCACAGTTTGTAATAGGTAAATCTTGTCAACAGCCCAAATGCCCATCAACTGATGAATAAAGATGTGGGTTTTTAAAAATACAATGGGAGTACTACTCTGCCATAAAGAAGGATAAGCTGGAGACATTTATAGCTAAATGGATGCATCTTGAGACCATACTCTTAGTGAAATAAATCACACACACATGTGTAAATACCACACTGTTTCTCTGATACGGGAAACCAAAAGTGTAAATAAGGACCAAAATGTGTAATAGATATTGTGAAATAGGAAGAAAATGTTCAAATGGGAAGGGGAACCAGGGGTGTGGGGAGGAAGGGACAAGAAAAAAATGACAAAAGAAAAAATGGAAACAAAGCTTTTGTAAATAAGGAGGGGAAGAGGGGTTGAAGGGAGGTGGAAGGAGGGTAGGGGGATGGGGGAAAAGAATCAAGTTGTGTTATGTACAGGTACAAATTCTCTGTGATGCATGTGATCATTACGTATACCTAAAATGCACCAATTAACTTAAAAAAGAAAGAAAAAAGAAGAGGTGCCAGACACAGTGGCACATTGCCTATAATCCCAGCACTTGGGACGCTGAGGCAGAAGGATTGCCGTGAGTTTGACGCCAATCTGGGCTGTGGGTTTAAAGCCAGCCTGGACGACATAACGAGACACTGTCTCAAAAGCGAAACGAGAGAGAGAAGGGTGGAGAGGATCGTTAACAGGTACAGAGGTGCAGCTGGAGAGCAGTAACTTCTCATGTCCTACGGCACAGCAATGGAACTATGGTTGACAACAACTACTTGATTACTTCAAGAAGCTAGTAAAGACGCCTGTGAATGTTCTCTCTCTCTCTCTCTCTTTTTTGTACCAGGAATCAAACTCAGGACCTTGTGCTTGCCAGGCAGGTGCTGTGCCACTGAGCTATATCCCAGTCCCCTAAATACTCTCAACACGAAGAACCAATAAATGTTTGAGGTGAAGGATACGCCCCCTTCCAAAAGAAAATACAAGGAAGAAAAGTAACAACTCAAAGAAATACATAGGAATGGTGAACAGATTTTATATTATGAACCCAGTTCACAGGAATATATTTTGTTTTGGAAAATGGTCCTTGTATTCATTCTTGGGTGAGGTTATTGGTCTTAGCAGGAGGAAAATGCACATGATTAACCTAAAAACAAGAAACAGGTTAGCTTCAACAGAACTGAAGACAGCTACTGGTAAAGTCACGGTGTGCTTAGAGCCAAGTGGCGATCTTGTACACCAGATCCCCTCCCCTCTTTCTCTGCAGTGCTAAAGATTAAACCCATTACATCTGTGCCAACACTCCACCACTGGACTACACAGCCAACTGGTTTTGTTTGTTTGTTTTGAGACAAGGTCTCACTAAGTTGCCCAGGTTGGCCTTGAACTTGCAATCTTTCATCTCAGCCTCCCGAGCAGCTGGGATTACAGGCGTGCTCTGTTACGCCCGACCGTTACAACTCCTAATGGTAAGAGATTGCTTAGACCTAGGAGTCTGCACCTCTTAGGCACCCTCCTTCTAGCTGAGAACGGCCCAGATCTCAAGCAGCCAAGTCTGGGATCCATTTAAGAGTTTGGGGTTTTATACAAGCCAACCCTCACATTCTGATTTAAATTATAAAAGTTAAGCCCTTCTAAAAATCAACTACAATGACACCTAGGTTCATGAACTTAATTCTTTCCAGATTTTGGTCACAAAATGAGCATCAAATGAGATCACAAAATGAGAACTAGATGAGAATCAAATGAAATTCAACGGTTAGGGTCAACGCTGACCTTACGGGGAGATGCGACTTGGTTCTCCCCCAGTTCAGTCTGCGACCGGAAATGTGGAAAGAACTAACTTTGTGGACCGAGGCTCCACTGCACAGGTTACATTTCTTCAAGTTATGTGAAAGACACAACTCTAAAAAAGTATAGATAGATCAAAAGCAGAAAACAGAACACTCACCTGTCGGGAACATGCCACACGGACTATAGAGTTTTCCAAAAGCATGACAGTGATGGCTAACTCAAAGCAGAGAAAGTGAGTTGGATACACTTCCTGCGGCTTGAGCCGGTTTTGACGGATTGCTAATAGCTCAGGAACTAATTTAATGCTGTTGGTTTCTAGTATTTAAAAAACTGCCAAAATTTGAATGGTAGCTTCTACTCCCCTCATTCCCACCACAAATAAGGCACTCTGACAGGAAAAAAAGTAGTAATGTCTTTCAGAAGTGAAAATATTTTTGTATGAACCTGCCCTGGACTTAAGTGTTGCTGGACAAGAGAGCCATTTAAAACATGAATAGATTCTAACCCTTCTGGAAATTAGACTGAGGAAAATAAAGACTATTGAATTCATTACAAATGAAATGCTAGAAGTGACGACAAGAGAGTTGCACTTTAAGAATCTCTCATAGAAATTAAAATCAAAGTCAAAATTTCAGACACTACCACATACTAAGCCTCAAAAATACTGCTCTCCAGTGTCTCGAATTTATTAGTAAGTTACCATTTTACATACAGATCCCGGTAGAGTGGGTTTGTCTGGTTCTTTGCTTTATAGAGCAAAACAGACAAAATCACAAGCAAATAAGTTAAAATAATGACATTCACATGTAAAGAGTGTAATAAAATGACTGGGAAACTATTTTAGAAAAGAATAAACAGAGGAGGGGTGAGTACACAGATTGAAAAGATATTGTATTAGATTCTGTGAAATCTATTACTTTTTAGAAGAAAAGGTTTCAGTTAAACCAGAAAGAATTAAGGCGCAGACAGTGTGTGTGAATGTGTGTGTGCATGTGCACACGCGGTGTATGATTGAACCCGGAGTCTTCTACATGCAAAACATGCTCTCTACCACTGAGCTACACCCCTATACCTCATCTCTTAGATGTGTTTCTCAACCTTATTAGCAAACTCACCCGTCGTAGGCCCCGCTGACGATCCTCTTATTATCAAACCGAATGCATCGAACCAATTCCTCATGGCCTTCTAACACTCGTAAACATGCACCACATTCTATGTCCCATAATCTAGAAGAGAAAATTGGGTCGTATGAATTTTCACGTATTCTTTTCTAAGCTTAGCATGTTATAATAATATACTTTACATGTCTTTTAAGAGCCTATGCTGGGCTGGGCATGGCGGCGCACGCCTGTAATCTTAGCACTCGGGAGGCTGAGGCAGGAGGATCACTGCGAGTTCGAGGCCAGCCTGAACTGCATAGCTAGACTCTGTCTCAAAAATACCAAAAAAAAAAAAAGAACCCATGCTGGGCATGGTGGCATAGGACTGTAATCCCAGCACTTGGGAGGCTGAGGCAGGAGGATCACTGTGAGTTCAAGGCCAGCCTGGACTACATAGGGAGACCTTATCTCAAAACAACAGTAACAAAAACAAACAAAAAAAGAACCCACAAAAATAAGATCAATCACCACTCATACAAAAGTGTATTGTTATGAATGTAATGTATCTTCTTTCTGCCATATAACTTAGGCAGGAAAAAGTATATGATTTAAACTTAAATGTAGTATCTATTTTCTGAGCATACTGCTTTATATAAATGGCTTTATAACCAGGCTCTCCCAGACATAAAAGGGACTACCTCAGTGCACACAGTTTCCTTGGAAAGAAATGACCAGTCCAGGAGAGCAATGCTTCTGGAAAGCACCAGGAGGAATGGGGCCAGGTGTTGGGGCCACCTGGCCCTCACAAAAACGCCTCCACCTCTGGCTCTGAGGACACCCTCTGCTTTCATTCACCACCAAGGATGGTCTTCTTTCAGTTTATGGAAATTTATGGAAATGCAAGGCTAGTTTTCAATAAGTTTCATGTAATAATTTAAAGAGCTGTCTGCTTTCAGACCAATCTAAGAGATTAATAAGAATGATAATTTTCTTAGATATAACAACAGCTCTGTTTTTCTTTACTCCTGGCTTGAGTTTTTTTTTTTTTTTAAATAGTCTCTCTACCCTCTCAGTAATTCACTGAAGAAAAGGAGAGGGTGGGTGAATCTTCTGAACTCTAACCTTATCTGTACCATTCATTTCGGTGAAGGGAAGACAAGAAAGGACTCCAGCACACACTTTACACAGGTGACTCCGGCCAATCATGTAACGTAAGACGAAAGTGTGTACTTTTGAGTTAGGAAACAAATTTACTTTTTTATTTATTTATTTATTTATTTATTTATTTATTTTTGATACTGGGAATCGATCTCCTGACCTTGTGCTCGCCAGGCAGGCGCTGTGCCGCTGAACTATATCCCTGGCCCAAATTTACTTTTTTAAACAACAATGACAAAAAGGCTATTTATTAACACCATTTATTAGCTACTTATTAGCACTTTTCAGCTCCATCCACTCGTCCTTCTTGCTGACCTCTTTACTGACCAGTACCTCTGGACTAGGTCTACCTTGTGATAAAACTATTATGAGAAGGAAACACATAAGCAAAAGACTTTGCCGTGCTGCCTCTGGCTCCCTGCTGACCCGCAGGAAGCTACCGAAAGGAAAAACACCCAGCGGTAAATGTAACGGTTGAAGAACTGTCTGAGCTGTGACTAAATCTGGTAATACTGACTTACTCTTGGCCAGAGCACCTGCTGCTCACCTGATGGTGTTGTCGGATGAGCCGCTCACCACCAGCCTGTCTCTGTACTGCAAACAGGCGATGCCTCTCTTGTGTCCATTCAGGGTCCTTACAAATTCACAAGTACTTGTGTTCCACACCTGAGATGGAAAATGACACTGAGCAGTGATTTGGTGCTTTTACTAGTAAAATCTATAGTGAATGGAGTCTTAAGGAAGCAAAAAACAAGACCGAACCCCTAGGGGATGTCAATTTCCCAAACATAGAACAAAGCACACGAAAGTCATTTCACTCATGGTAATACTGGTTTAATTAGAAGCTGGCTGGAATCACATGGGAATTCTTCAAATTGATTTATGAGGTATATCTGGTTTGCAGATACATTTCTTGAACTTAAATTTACCCCTGACCTTTTCATGCTCACCATTATTACTTTGTGGTGCTGGGGGCTGAACCTGGAGCCTTACAGACGCCGAGCAAGTGCTTTACCAGTGAGCCACACCTCTAGCCCACCACCATTATTTACAGGAATTCAGCATCTGGCCAGAGCTGTCCTACCACTTGCCTTACTCATTGCCTTTTGACATAACACTAGTCCCTGAATTAAATATTAATTTATTCTACAGTGATGTCTACATATGCAGTTATCACTGTTCAAATTCTCCCATGAACTTTAACTGGGGACTTACTGAAAAACGCATTACCTTTATAGTTCTATCCCCAGATGCAGAGACAATGTACTTGTCATCAAAGTCTACAACGTTGACAGCTGCTCGGTGTCCGACCAGCACCCTCCGGAGGGTGATGTCAGTCGGGGAGGCCATATCCCAAACGGCGATGGAACGATCTTTGGAGCATGTCACCATCATTCCGTTATTGAAACGCAGGTGCAGGACTGCTTCACAATGGTGAATCAATGTGTTCAGCATCTCACCTGTATTCACATCCCACACTCTGGAAGGGACAGAGTTAAGATGGTACCCAAGCTACACCCTGTTACCCATATTTGAATACAATGCTCCCCACCCACTTCCCACACTTCCCTAGGAAGCATTGTATTTCATCTTCTTTTGCGGAACCAAGGTACAGTAATGATAGACCACGAGGAACAGCAGAGAGAGGCTGGGCAGGGTGGATGGGAAAACGATGGGGGTGGGATGCTGCCACGTGGCACCCTTCAAATTTGAGATCTAGGCAAGCTGTGGAGGGCAAAGATGAAACGGCAGCCACCAACACCGATCATCTGGGCCAGCGTTCAAGACTATTATGAATGGTGTCAATCTGACACTGTTAAGGAGATACATTTTATTTTTTAATTTTTTATGTTTTTTGTTTTAGGAGATACATTTTAAATGAAGTGTCTAATTAGTAACAGCAGCCCTGGCACCTACCCGTTAACCACCCTCAGGAATCACGATCGACACGGGCCAAGATGCTTCTGACACAGACTTAGTAATACAGGTGTAAATTTGATGACCCAGGATTACAGGTCCGCCACACAAGATTACCTAGAGTCTAGGTCTAAGCCTATGTTTCTGTGTGTCGCAGGGGTGGAGACCAAGAATAGCCTTCCCACTGCAAATATGGGCTTGAAAGCAGAGCATGAGACCCTTGGATAGCCTGGAGACTTTCTGTTGTCACTCTGGTTACTCTACTTTTGTATAATGAATGTGGCTTTGATAATATTTTATTTCTTTTTTACAGTTTGGCCTCCTTAAAAAAAAGTCGTTTTCTGGGCTGGACGTACAGCTCAGCAGTACAGCACTTGCCTCCCAAATACAAGTTCAATCTCCAGCACTGCAAAAAAACAAACACCAAAACCATGCTTCTCCCTTACTCTGTAAATGCACAGTGTCTGAGCTCCTGTAAGGCACTCCACAAGCACCACTACACGTTAAATGTTGGCAAATGCAAGCCTGGGCTCGCTCTGCCTTGAAGTCAGAAGACAAGAGCCAGGAGCGTCACTGTCTACTCACAGAAAACAATTCCCAGAGGCAACATCGAACTTCGGAGAAGCCAACAGCACCGCTAAGCGCGGTCACGTGTTTTAAAGTTGCTTCGGTGCATCAAGTTTGCTCCCCTCCAGCCCCAGGCAAAGCTCCGACAGCGGCCTCCCACAGCGCTGCTGCTGGTGCCCGGAGCTCAGCTACACCGGGCTCCAGCAGCATCACGTCTGCGTCATCAAGTCACCACTGCCTCTGGAAATGCAAGTCCCCTCGGAAGTCCCCTCCCAGAGCGAAGCTCACAATTAAAACTGCAGGGACAGGAGGGGAGGGGCCGGCAGAGACAGAGCACTGCTCACCTGTGTGTGTTTTAAAGAGGCAATGCTTGCCTGTGCTACAGTGCTAACTACTTGAAAACGACAGCTTCATTCTCTTCTTATTACTTCCTTCCTTGTGAAGTGGTGTTAGGAATGCAAGGTTTATACTTTTCTTTTCCCCCCAGTACTGGGAATCGAACTCATAACCTTGCACTTGCCAGGCAGGCACTGTGCCGCTGAGCTAAATCCCCAGCCCCGAATGCAAGGTTTATAAAAAAGAAAAGATTCTGTAATGGATGGGAGATTCTCTACATTAAAATGTATAGTTTCTTGTATGTAAAAAGTGTCAACTTAACCCAATCATTCCTAAATCTTTAGGTTCTAGACTGACACAATAATGGGGGAACTGAAGTGTTTTTCTTCCTTAGTTTCAGAACTGCATTCATGTAAGTATGTACAAAATGACTGTGACAAAGAATAGGGCACATCAGTTGTTTCAGGGTTCAAAAGAGAGTATGAAGTGTTCTACCTCACTGTGGAATCCGATGATCCAGTTACGATGACCCTCTCGTCGTACTGGAGACACAGGACAGAACCCGTGTGGCCTGTGAGAACTCGCCTGCATTCCAATGTGCTTTTATCCCAGATCTAGGATGGCAAACAGGATCTGAGCACTGTGACAAAGCGTCTGTGGAGACTCGTTGACTCTGTTATGTGTCAAGTGTCCCTCCCAATCAAAGCCCAGAGCAGCGAGCAGTACGTTCTTTTCTGCAGGTGTGGTTACGCACTCATATACATGTGGCTTCGGTTGTAATGCAAACTTTATTCTTTTCATTAAGCAACAAGGGCAGGCTATAATTATACCAAAAAAAATTCTCCCTTATCCTATAAATGATACAACCATGTACAATATTTGAGTTTTTGTAAGGTACTCCACAAACACCACTAAAAGTTAAATGTTGACAAATTCAAGAAGCTACACCCCCTCAGTGTACTTCAAGAAGGGAAGTTAACCCTGAGAATATTCATTTGTATGTACACGTGGGGAAGAGGAGAGGTTAGTCCTTTAAAGAAACTTTGGAACTGGAAGCAACCTAAAATTCTCACTTTCTAGAAATAATACTTGGGGTTTATGGTGCAGACCGCTTTAAGAATGTGGTTACCCTTGGCCCCTTAGCTCCTGTCCCACAGCTGAAGAGACCTTACCTTGATGGTGTTGTCTCGAAGGCCGCTTACTATTTTCTGGTCATCATACTGTAAACAGTAAACTCCTTTGCTCGTCTCACTTCTACAGTGGATTCTCTGTAAGCTGTGTCTTCCACACCTCCAGTTAGCTTCTATGGTCTGAGAAGAATCAACGGTGAAGAGGCAGGTAGTTAGGAACGGACCTGAACCGAACTCTTACAGCAATGGTAAGCAGGGGATCAGCGCAGTGATCTATGGGGTATACAGATCTAAAGGAAGCTAGAAATATGCACCGAGGAAGGCTGAGTGCTCCGCGCTCTCCTCATACATGTGATGACCACTGAACTTCCATGGAGGCTCAACTCAGAACACACTTGAATGTCAGTGCAAGAGTGCGAATGTAATGGTTTTACTGCTATGGTAAGAAAGCCAACCTCTCTCTTTTGCTCTCTCATCTGCTTATCAGCAATCAATTTTTTAATGCTTTACAAACTTTGCTTGGCAATTTACTGTATTTTACCTACCCTACAATTGTGAAGATATTGATTTTTAACACCAATCCGTAAACCTTAGTGGGTTTGCTGTAACAATACTGAAGCTGAAGAACGCTAGGATTCTCTATTTGGCAAACACCCCCCAATACAAAGGGTCTTACCTCGATGTCTTGTATAATCTTAGGATAAAGTGCTCTATAGAAAGAGTTGGGAGGAGCATTGCCATCAGGAGGTTTGTTTTTGAATAAATACTGTCCCCTAAAAAAACAAATGTTTCCCAATGAAAACCACAGCACTGTACATTTGTAAGGAGCTACACATTGTTTTAAAGTATTTCACAGCTTCCAATTCATATAATCTCCACGACAAACCTGGAGAGGTGTGACAATGAGCCTGATTTCAGGAGTCTCCTGTCAAGCAGTAACTTTCTGAGCTCTAAGGATTTGACACTGATTTGCTTTTGGGTAAAACGTGATTATTTCTAGTGCAAAGCATCAGACCTCCAACCCTTCTGGGGTATTTGATGCCAGCAGACAGTGCGTCTGATCAGAATTTACCTACTGGTCTGCTAGGCTACTGCACAGAGTCACTGGCTTTATGTTTGTTTCTTTCCTTGAGCCAAGCTGTGCAAGTGTCAGAGGAACCCAGCACAGCAGCAGCAACGCCTCTGCCATGGAGCTCACTTTTATAGATCTTTATCTTGTGGGGTGAGGCATGCTGGCTGCCCCCTCACACAGGCTGCTGGTGACCAGTGTGGTGGCTATGTCTGAACGGAGCATTGCAGCTTATTTCAACAGAAAACAGGGGTCACAGGAGTGTCCAGCAGCAGGAAGGGAGATGTGAAGAAAAGCCTAATAGCACCGTGCTGTCAAGTCTAAGGTATGGAACTGGTTTTCGCAGGTGTGCTCCTGGCTCTGCCTCCACACACGCATTTTACTGCCTTCCCCTGACTCCAGCGAGCAGCATTTGTTAGCAGCTCCTTCCTATGACAGCACATCTCTGGAATACTCATATCCCAAGTTAGATCTTTGCTACCACAAAAAATCAGTAAATGGCAATCACTTCCTGCTGGGTAAAAAATTTAATTCCTCATCCTGAAGTTAAGAACTCACCGAACGTGGTGTGGAAGCCAGTAAACCCGCTGTGGGCGTTCTAACTGCCGCTATCTCTGGCAACGCGCCGTGGAGTGGAGACAGGCAGAAATGGCTCTGAGTGCCGTCCTGGCACCACAGAAGTCATGTTTCCTCTGGGCCAGTCATTTGCTCCTCCCTCTGTAGCTTTATTACAATATAATTAATTGCTCCATGTCTCCAGGAGTGCTTCTCCCTGCCCTCTTTCTATCGTACACCTTGAAAATTCGTTGAGAAAATTTCCTATCAAGAAGGTAGGTGACACTAACTTTTGTGTTAATACAGAAAAAAAATCTGAAGTGAAGAAGCAAAAACTATCTTAAAAGGAGACAAATGAAACAGGACATAATGGCAAAAAGGCAAAGGCAACTGAGCTAGGTGGTGCTTGCCTATGATCCCTGTAACTTGAGAGGCTGAGGCAGGAAGATCCCAAGTTCAAGACCAGCACAGGAAATTTAGAGAGACCCTGTCTCAAAATAAAAAGGGAGTGGCAGTGAGGGTGTAGTTCAGTTGTACAGCATCTGCCTAACTTGTTCAAGGCCTTGGGTTTAATCCCTAGCACCAGAGGAGGGGGAGACAAACAAGATATATTATGAAACAATTATGAATGAAAAGTATATGTCTCCAAATAATCTTATCCTATAAAAACTTGGCAGGAAATTATATACATACATACATATATATATATACATATATATATATATATATTTTTTGGTCTCAGGACCTCGCACTTGCCAGGCAGGTACTGCGCCACTGAGCTAAATCCCCGGCCCAATGATAGATTTTTTTTGTTTTGTTTTGTTTTTTGTCTTGGTTTTTCTCCGGTACCGGGAACTGAACTCACAACCTTGCGCTTGCCAGGCAGGCGCTTTTGCCGCTGAGCTAAATCCCCAGCCCCTCCAATGATAGATTTTTGAATGAGAAAATTTTAGGTGTGACTCTAAAGCCCATATTTAATTGTTTTGTTTCCCAGTGCCCACCATTCCTGAGCCTGTCTTCCCTTTTGTCTCTGGCAATCACATACAGGCACTTCCGGGTTTTCTTTATAAGGAGCGCATGATACTACTGCTGCATCCTCAGGGAAGAGAACTCACAGAAACTTCCAATCACATATTCTACCCCACCACCTTTAACATGGTATCCAAATTTCTTCAAATCAAAGATGCTGCAAAAAGGAATGTGTATGCCTTAAAAACTGGCCTCTTTAAGTGTTTTGAGTCAAAATCATTTATGACAGAAGCTCCTTGACAACAGGGACCAATTCTATATGAAATGTCTAGTACCTATGAGAGTGAGTCCACGATAAATGTGGAATATTAAATTCAGAATGTTACCATAAATGTGACCTGCTGATTAAGAAAATGGACTTTTCCCAAATGGTCTGTTATTATACTTTTAAGAGTTACCATTACTGAGCAGAGAGAGCATATTCACTACTATTCAAGAGAGAAAACAGCAGAGTTCATATCTTAGGGGCAGACTGTCATATCCATCTAGATATAAAATAAAGCAGCAAAGTAGAAGTTAAATCTTAAGAGACACAAAGCTTTATTGGGAAGTTGGATTTACTTATTTATTTTTGGTTAAAAGTAAGAGACATTTTCAAAGATAGCATACAGACAGAGATGACCAGAAGACTTTATGAGAGTAGACTTGGTAAGGTAATTCCAAAAGAGGAGAATGAGAGACTGATCACAAATTACTATTTTTTAAAGGGAGGACACCTCAAAGGGAGAGCTGCTGCAGGAGGGGCTGACACGAGGTGGACAGGTACTGTGATTTCATGGGGCGGTCACAGGTGAGGAGCTAAGTGTGGCCAGAGACAAGGGGGTGCAGTCAGGACACTGAGGGTGCAGGTGCCCTAGAGAGCGGGGTAGGGCTCTGCGGCTGAAGAGATGGGGATAGTGCCAATCGGTGCTGGAGCAGTTCTCAGATACACCTTCATATACCCTTTAAAAAGTCCCAAAAGCCAGCTTCTCAATGCCATATATATATATACACACACACACACTTTGGGGGGCGGGGCGCGGGGAGCGGGAGGTGGTACCGGGAATCAAACTCATGACCTCAGGCTTGCCAGGCAAGCGCTTATGCCACTGAGCTACATCCCTGGCCCATATATATATATATA